CCTTTTTGTGTTTCTTTCTTACATATGACGTGGCTCTGTACTTATACATCCCTCATTGTATTATTGTGCCATGGTAAATGTTTGATGATATATTTGTTTGTTTTATAGGGATTAAGATGATAACACAATGCTGACTGCTGTGCCCCTATTTTTGACATTTTTACCTATTGTGTATCTTTGTTTTGTTCACACGTCGTTGTCAATATATAATGGATTTTTATGCGGCTGTCATACAAGTGAGAGGTTTAGCTAGCTTTAAAACCAGGTTTAATCCACCATTTTCTACATAAGAAAATGCTTGTACCAAGTCAGGAATATGACATTTGTTGTCCATTCGTTTGATGTTTTTTAGCTTTTGATTTGCCATTTGATTAGGGTCTTTCTGTTTTTGATTTTCCTCGGAGTTCAGTATTTGTGTGATTTTACTTTTGATTCGAGTTGAAGATATTTTGGTTTCAGATGATGCTGTCCCATGTCATGCAGTTGAGACTAGGTCTCAAAAAGAAGAAGCAATATGTAGAAGATAGGAAGATAGATAGCATCGCAGTTAAGCGTAGTAGCGATACACCTATATCTCATTCTATAGATTTTTCAGAGATTACAAGTGAATTTAAGATTTGTGACAGGAAGCAGCTAATAGAGGTACAGAAGACAGACGAGACTTTGAATAAGGTGCGATCAAATGTAGGTGGTGATCATCAAAATCATGAATCAAATGTATGACTATTCAGATTTACTTTATAGAGTGTATAAGAAGCCAAGCGGAGAAGTTATCAATCATATTGTATTACCACGACAGCTGAGAGAGAGAGAATGCTCTTTCATTAGGACACGACATACCATTAGCAGGTCATCTTAGGAACAAGAAGACAAGAGACAGAATCATGCAACACTTTTTCTGGCCAGGTATTTTTAATCATTTTGCCGAGTACTGCAGGTCTTGTCCTGATTGTCAGATAGGTACATCGATTCCTCTGAAAGACCAGGAAGCTGGTACAGTTACAAATTCTCTTTTAAATGTTTTTTCTATGGTTGGCATACCAAAGGAGCTGTTGACAGATTAAGGCAGAAGCTTCATGTCAGAATAGATGGTTGAGGTATATATTAGACTATTACAAATAAGTAAGTTACATACTAGTCCTTATCATGCAATGTGTGATGGACCCTGTGAAAAATTCAATGGCGTGCTGAAGAAAATGCTGAAAACATATGCATGATTGAAGCCACAAACGTGGGATGAATATATGCCCTACTTATTATTGGCATACAGAGAAATGCCAAATGAGAGCACTGGTTTTTCACCATTTGAATTGTTATACGGTAGACACATTAGAGGTCCTCTTGCAGTATTTGAAGAGGAATGGGAAGAGCCAAGTACATGTCAACACTCTGTATTGAGTTATTTGTTAGTAACAAGAGAAAAGATGAGAACAATGGCTGAGTATGCCACAGAAAATGAAAACAAAGCAAAACAGGGACAAAAATTGTACTTTGACCGAAAAGCTAGAGACAGAAAGTTAGAAGTTGGTCAGAAGGTGCTTATATTACGTATGAAGGACAAAGTCCTCGCAGGATACAAGGATTTCGCTGATTCGTTCATTGACAATATTGGTATATTTAGCGGTACTTGGAAGTACCATATCGAGCATTTAAGAGCAGTATTTGATTCGTTGAGACAGGTAAGGTTCGTTGCTAAACCGAGTAAGTGTTCATTCGGCCACTTGACAATCCAAAGAAATTACTTCGTTACAGTCTGAATGGATCAAAGCTATTTGATCATGCATTCAGAATCGCATTCAGAAACTACGATGTACTAGGAGCACAAGGATTTCTAACCCATTCAAGAACCCGGAGGTTGTGGCTGCTTTATCCTCTTTGCATGACAGATATGTCGTTGTTCCAGCAAAAAAAGCCTCCAATAATATTGTCTTTGTATGTATAAACCATTATTTGCAATGTCTCACTAAAGAGCTTGGAATAAACAGCACAACTGGTAATCCTACATATTCTTTAACATCATTTACAAAGGATGAACTTTTACAAAATCACAAATTTGTCCTTCTTTCGTTTAATATTAAAATCAAAGAAAACGAAAAAAATCTACCGTCATTATACTGGATACCAAAACTTCACAAAACTGTGTATAAAGAACGATACAGAGCTGGATTATCACGATGTTCGACTAAACATCTTTCTAAAGTGTTGACTACTATTCGTTCTACAGTAAAAGATGGCCTTCAAATACATTGTGATGAGATATTTTCAACCAGTTGTGTCAATCAGATGTTGATTCTAAAAAATAAAATTCTAAAGACTTACTGGAAAATCTTAGATCACAATGATTTCAACTTCCCAATTATTAATTTCCCATTTCTCAGCAGTAACATAGTAATTACCTTCTGCTCCGTCATATGGTGTTTACATATCTGAATCGATACGTTATGCTTCTGCATTTTCACACTATACTGACCTCATATTCAGGTATGATCCTTACGCAGAAACTGCTCCAACAGAGTTATGAGGAGGCAAGATTAAAAAAGACAATACGTAAATTGCATGGACACCATCACAAATTGATTGATCTATACGATGTGTCTGTGTCTAAATAAACTTACGACATTTTCACCACGTCCTAGATTGTGGTTTAACATCTATGTCGTCTGTTTTCTAAGTACCGAACGTTACCCAGGGCCGTAAATTATGTGGATGCATGTAGGCAGTTGCCTCCTATTGCCGGCCCACCAAAAAATAATACAAGAGAGAAATAGAAACAAACAAAAAATAATTTTTCGTCTTGATACTTTCAAGTATAGAATCAGTCAATACTTTCAAAATGCGAAGAATATTTTTGTGAACTGTCGGGCAAACTACCTTAATTTAGTCATTGTTAGCAGTTGTCAGAATTTGTATGGCAATTCTAAGTTAAATCACCATGCTATGAAAGATGAATGCCAAGTCGCCGTTTAATTTATTTGATGTATGATCAAGAGAAATGCCTACTCTAACGGGGAAAACGATTCCTGCAAATTAGAAGATACTTGATGAAAATCACAAACCAATAGTTAAGCTTGGTTGTTGAAACACTATGAAATGTTCTTGATGTGCTTGATGAAATTACAAACTAAACTACTGTAATGGCAAATATTATGCATCATCTTACTAACTGACTTTAACTAAGACAGTGTAAACATAATATTTCGGATTTTCATAACTCATTGATCAGAACTACAAATGCATATGGAAAAGGTATATGCAGCACTAATATGTAGTTCTAGACATGCAATTGATTAAAATAATTACCAAAAAAATAGATATTCAAAAATGTATAGAATGTTGATGTAGATAAAAAAAAAAAAAAGCGAAGAAAACTGCAGTTTAATTGCTTAACATCGTGGCAGAATTTTATTTTAAATTGATGTTATCGCAGTGCTCATTTTCGCTTAAATGGTGTGAAAAAATAAGGGGATCCCCAGATACTTTTTCCCCGTCTTAATCATTAAGTATAAAGGTTGGGTGATGCAGGCAAAAACATGAACACCAATATTGCAGTGAATAAAGCGTATCCGTCGTAAATCTGCGGACGCAATTTCGAGAAATTTAAATTGAAAATGGAATCGAATTTATTTGTATCGATATTTTTTTACGTACATTCTATACACTAAGTCTTATATATCCTTTTCAAAACTTTTTGATCTGAATTATAAATATTTCACCTTTTAGATATATTAAAATGTAGTTCAACGTACTCCAAAATGCCCAAATACATAACTACGCCTTAATTTTAAAACAATAGCAGTTGTAGTTGTAACCCATTCCTATTTTGATAAGACCTTTGTCTATAGAACTTCAAAATCTGCAAAAAATGATCTTCTGAAAGCTCATGTCCAAGCAAGCTGGAACACTTGCTATATCTTTTCTCGAGATATGAGAAAATTCAATAGAACAAGTACACTGTTCTATCGCAAATAAGAAAAAATAAATACTCTGACAAATCATTTTGATAAATATTAACAATGTTCATTAATATCTTCCCCAAACTAAAAAGACGAATAATAAAAAGAGAATTTGATACTAATAATCAAAATGATCAGTTATGTAAGAATGCCCTTTTAGTTTTGAGGTTTGATAAAGTTTCTCTAAAACAAAATAAAAATATCATGGGAAAAGGTAAGCAAGCAGGCTAATGCACGAATAACTGCCCGATTTCGGGCGGTTAAGGATACAACAAGATCCCCGCCTATTCTGATGCCTCCTATTAAACAAGTTCTAATTTACGGCGCTGTTACCTATTCCCGTATGACTGTTACACCGAGTGTGGATTTGTATTGCTATACGACGTGTCTCGGTATTTTGTACATCCAACATTCGGGTATTTATTTTTGAAGTTTCTGTTATGGTTTTGGTTTTATAATCTGTTATGTCTTATTGTTTGTAGTCCAAATTATTATAAAATTGCCTTCAATACCATCATTGTAATGAACATTGTTTGAACTGGAATTTTGAAAATAATTGTATCAAGTTCGAGATTGCATGTTCATTACGTAAGTGCGTCACTGTTTGTGATGTCCTGTGGTGTCTGTCGTTGATGGTAGATGTTCGTTGTTTTTCTGCGGTTTGCATGTTGTGACGTCTATTATATTATGTATTTGTGCGTTTCTCTTTAATGAGTGTTCATGCGTGTGTTTGTGCTGTATTTCTGTCACGTAGTGTTATCATTTTAGTGATATTTTTTTAACATTATCATATAAGCGGGAGGTTTGGCTAGCCATAAAACCAGGTTCAACCCACCATTTTTTCTTAAATGTCCTGTACCAAGTCATGAATATGGCAGTTGTGATCAAATAGTTCGTTTATATGTATGCTGGCGTTTGTTTTTGTTTCCCTTCAGTGTGCCTATTGTTCCTTTGTTTTCCTCTTAAAGTTGATGTGTTTCCTTCGGTTTTAGTTTGTAACCCGGATTTGCTTTCTCTTAATTGATTTATGACTTTTGAACACCGGTATACTACTGTTGCCTTTATTGTATATTTCGAAGAACAAAGAATAGAGGAAAAGAAGAACAATGTTCTTTTGGTGCTTGATTAAAGTGCCCCGAAGAACTGTTTTGTTGTCGTTGTTTGGTTCTGTTCTTTAAACGAAGTCTTTTGGGACGTTCATTTTCAAGATCCAGTTTCTTCTTTTCTTTAACTAGTTTTTTTTCAGTTTACATCTCCAATACCTAACATATAGGATAAAAAGATAGATAATGAGAATATGAAAGAACTTAAAAATTCCTCTCACTAATTTTTAAATATTTTGAAAATTAAACATCTAATTAAGATGATAAACAAACATCAGAACCTAGAATCTATACTTCAAGACCATCATATATTAATTGTGAAGTTGATACAGAATATTTTTCAACAAGGTCTTGTTATCTTCCAATAAGTTTTTGTAGAAAAATGACGTGATGTTCTTTGACATAACCTCGGCATATCAACATTCTGCTCAGATATTGGTGACGTTTTGTAAATTCTCAGGAGATACCGAGAGCTCTTGAATACAAAATTAGTTATGCTAAGGTATAGAAAATTTATAATTTCAAAATTAAAATCGTCTCGTTTGTCACATATTCTGGAATTGAGATCACTGCTTATGTCAAATTCGAGGTTTAAGTCTGTAAATGAGGCAGACGAAGCCTTGTCTATTGTGTCTTTAATTTCTAGATCTCGAGGATACATTAATTGAACCCAATCAGAAACGTTCGGATTGTTAATGAAAAGAACATTATTGATATATCTAAATGTGATTTAAATGATCGGGCTTCCTTGATTTTCTTGTTTTTGACTATAAGACTATATACACAATTTAAATTCTCGTATAAATCTTATCAATAATACCACAATTGATAAAAGTTTAGTTCGCGATGGTATCTTCTGTGGACAGCTCATTATTTGTTGGGTTCTTTTTGATTTATATCTATGATTGATTGTGTAGCATAAATTAAATGTTTTGACCGTTACAGTAATGAGAATGAATCAGGTGCTAAAAGGGCTAACAAAGTAAATTAGATTTCTATATGTGCTATTCATTGAGTTTAAGGTTGTGGGTTGCAAATATGGGAAAGATAAAACGAACCTCTCGGGGGATTGGTAATGGTTTTTTTTTTTTTTTTTTTTTTTTTAATGTTATCATATTTTTTTGAAATCTGTAATTGTATCTTAATAAAGTGTAGTATATAAGTTATATTACAATATTTGATGGCTATTTGGATACATCTTAGTGTGACCCCATCAACAAAATAAAAATAAATTTAATCTGATTTTTCTGATACAAGTTCAATACAAAAATGTTGGTATTCAAATTGATCTATGTTAAATTGTTCGTGCATTGACTATATATTTTACAACCGTGGCAAGAACTTATATTTTAGCTATTTAACTGTATATTCAAGGTACAGAAGGTGATGCTTCCTTTCTTCCCATCATGACAATACCATAAAATGTAAACTTAAATTTACATACCTTACTACCTGCTTGAAGAAACAAGTGTAAACTTGCAGACCATACAATTTTGGTAAATGTGGTATAGGCGACAATTTACCTGTTCTTGCAACACAGATGTTGTTTCAGTTTGAAGAAAAAAACTCTTCAGAATCTGTTTGTCTTTCCAGAGGGGTAACATTTGCAATTTTTCGACTGCTTGTCGTTTTTGGTTGAGGCAATGTCACTTGTCTTATTACAGCTGTTTTGTCAACTAAAAGATTGAAAATGTAGCAAATTAATTTATGTTCTGTAATTATCAAAAATTACATTGACCACATTAATGCAAAAGAAATTAAAAGAAAATGAATGAACCGATGCATGCTTGAATTAATTGCTACATGTATCTTACCAAATTAATCCTTGTGAAATTATGTTTTCTGTAGATTCCTTTTCAAATTTTCTAAATGCTTTACTGAACGAATTACGAGACAGGAAAAAGTTTTCTGTCCTCAGGACACATTTATCTCGTAAATGTGTATGAAAGCTTCACTTGTTGACGGGAAGCTGTGTTGTTATACAAAATTTAGAGGAATTGATTAGTTGTGATCATTTTTGGCAGTAAATATTTATAAGAGAAAACATATCCTCTCCTCGATTGTTATTCTTTTTCTATTCTAAATCATGAAAAAAAAGAATAAAAGTAATTTTTGGATTTTAATTTTTTTTTTTTTCATGTAATTTGTAATGAGTATTTCCTATTACGGAATTCACCCTTTTTTCTGTTTTTTATATGAATTGGGTAGAAGGTTAAACAAGTGTAAGCTAAATGAACATTTTTATGTTATATTGATTATTATTTATGTAACGTCATAGCACATTTTTTGGTAAAACTGTATACAGAATGACAAATATCTTAGTGTTAAAATTTTCAAGAAGCTACTTATTTAAATTTCTAACGGGGGGACTGACGAGAGCCTCAAAATTTGGATATTTTGACTCCTGACGAAAGAATAACATGTATGTATTTATCAAGTGATTTTCCAGATTGCTGCCTTATTTTTCGTTGTCATTAGATCACGCACGTATCCCTTACCTGTCAAGTGAAGTGCCTCAAAGAACTGTTCAAATGTCATCAAATTGTTCTGATTTTGAGACTCCCGTCTTTCGAGAAATCCAATTTCAAGGTCTAATTTCTTCTTTTTTTTCTCCAGTTTTTCCAGTTTACTTGTTAATACTTTAACCTATAGAATAAAATTGAAAAAAATGAACGTTAAGTCTGTAATGGTATCTTCCGATAGTCTATAATTTGGATAGAGTTTATTGATTATTTAAGCTCCACCATCCGAACATTAAGGGAAAATATCTCTTTAAAACACCCAGACTGATTTTGATTAAGATTAAAAAAAAAGAATGGAAAAATAGATTCGATTAGTGCACCAAGATATTGGAACTGCTGAATAAATTTACGTAAAAGTAAGCTACCTTATTGTATGCTTGACAACAATATCAATCAGTTACTTTTAGCTATGTGTCAGTATACACATTCATGGTACATAATATCATATACCCTTTCTCCCAAATGTGATTTAAGAATTATTAATAATTTCAAATTTGCATTATTTTAAAAAAGCTCTCAGAAGAAAAAAATGCCTGTATTCCAATTTGCTTCTAAATTAATGAAAAAAAAAATATTTATTTGCAGAAAATTTGATAAACTATGGTGAAGGCGGCATGTAAAATTGATTAGATTAATTTCTCTTTTTTGTTTTAAATACAGACGATGAAGTATTCACCTGTAACTCTTGCATGACATCTGCTGTTGATTTTGCTTCCTTTATTGGTTCATGTTGAAGACAAGTGTTTTCAGGATCTGTTGGTCTAGCAAGAGGAGGAACAAGGATTTTCGGTTTGTTGCTGGTAGTTTCTATTTCAGGCAATAATACTTGTCTTTTTGTAGCTGTGCAATTTAATTTTGAACCATTCAGAGATTCTTCCTGCGATGTTTCCTCAGTTTGATCAGCTACAACATTTAAAATGTAACTCGTGAATTATTTTCTGTAGGTATTTAAATGGCATGAGGACATTAACGCACAAGAAATTAAAAGAACATGAATACAACCAAGTCTTTCTTATTTTCAATAAAGCCAACTAATATTTTTTTATATTTACGAGCCTCTGTCTTCTTTATAAACATACTTGTATGAAACAAAAATTTTGATGAATTCAATACTTATTTTTAAAATGACATGACGGCAACTGCTTGTTCATGAAGAGGTTTGTTGTTGACAGTATATACAAACAATAGACTAAATCATTGAAAAGCATAACGGGACCAAAATAATTCATGTGTAAAAGGACGTCTCCTTATCGCAGTATAACATTTCGCTTTAACTGGTTAATCAACAAAATTCAATATATAGTTAAACTTAGAGATATATGGATATGAAAGACATACGGGTCCCTATTTCAGTATGGAATTGTTTTCCTTACAATGCTGCATTATGACAAAATATAATTCCTCAATGATTTTGAATTGCTTTGGTCTTGACCATAAACACGAAACCCAACCGGGATCACAAACTTACTAACGAAATAACTCAGAAAAAAAAGTTTTGCATTCAACATGTTTGAAGACCTAGGTTACAGGGCATATTAATTAAATGTGCCTATAAAAAAAAAAGAAGATGTGGTAAAAAATGTTGGGTGAAATCTGGTTTAAAACCTAAGTTAATCTCTCCAAAATATGACAGGCGCATAACAAATCCATTATATTGACAACAATGCGTGAAACAAACAGACGTTATAGGTATAAATTTCAAAAACAGTGGTACAGCAGTCAACATTGTGTTACAATCTTAATCACTATAAAAAACAAACAAATATGCCACCAAAGAAAAACAAAACGGCAAAAAGACAAAGCACATAAGCAAAAAACCAAAGACAAAAACATGAAAATTACCATAACACAATAATACAATGACGGCATGTATAAGTACCGAGCCACATCAAAAGGATATTAGTAAAAATGAATTAAACAGTAAAAGTTATACTTTACAAAGACAAATAAAATAACAGTTTACCGCAGTTAAGATGATAAACAATGTCAGTACCTAGAATCTAAATTTCAAAAACATCGTGTATTATTTGTGATGTTCATACGGAGTATTTATAAACAAGGTCTTGGTATCTTCTGATGAACATTTTTTTTAAAAGGACAAGAAATCCAGTCATTGTGTCATTGTGCTATGGTAAATTTTTGTATTCTTGTCTTTCGTTTTTACTAATAATAATAATAATAAAATTCTTTATTTAACGAAGGTAACACATTTAACAATTACATGTTAATCTTCCATGAGGCCTTCAAAAACTATTAATACAAATAGAAAAGAAAAAAAACAAAAAAACAAAAAAACAAAATACAAACAAAATAAAATACATAATACTGTTATACATAGCAGCTTAAATATTGAATAAGTACATATGCATTCAATAGAAGAAGAAAAAATACATTAGAATCAAGCATCTTCATTCTGTACAGTTTGAAAATAGTTTGAACATTTGATCTTAAATGTATCTAAATTATTTATTTCTTTAATATTATTTGGTAAATTATTCCAAGTAATAAGACCAGAATATTTAAATGTTCTTTTTAAAAATTCAGAATTAGGTCTTGGTACATGAAGAAGTCTTGATGTTGTCGACCTGAGACAATAATTATAAAGATCAGTACAAGCAGTAAATTTAATAGATAGATAATCAGGTGCTAGACCATTCATACATTTAAACATTAACACAGCTTGAAAATATTGTATTCTTGTAAATATAGTCATCCATGCAAGCTTTTTAAACATTAATGTTGATGGAAAATCAAAAGAAACAGATAAAACTAATCTTGCAGCACGTTTTTGGAGCTTATGTATCCTCTCCAGATTACAGTTTGTGGTAAGACCCCATACTGTACAACAGTAGTCAATAATGGGTAATATATAGCTATTGTAAAAAAGAATAAAACCTTTTAACGGTAAATAACGTTTCAACCTTTTTAACAGGTATATTCTGGTTGAAATAGTTTCGCATATTTTATCAATTTGATTTGACCATGATAGATTTTTATCAATATGAATTCCAAGAAGTTTTTCAACTTCAACATTATCTAAAGTGATATTATCTTGTGATAAAACACATAAACATTCATTGCAGCTTTCCAGTTTTCTGTCTGATCCAACAAGCATACATTTTGATTTCTTGCTATTTATCATCATATCATTTTCTTTACACCATTAAATAACATTGTCTAAGTCTTTATTCAAACATATATTTAAATTTACGATAGATTTAGATGACAAATGTAAAGTTGTATCATCAGCATATAGATCAGATTCTGTATATTCTAAGGTTAATGGTAAGTCATTGATATAAATAAGGAACAATAAAGGTCCAAGTATAGTGTGCTTTGTCTATATGCCTTTCTAAATTTCTTTGTTGACATATTTATTGTTTTTATAGTGATTAGGATTATAACACATAACACAATGTTGACTGCAGTATCCCTTTTTTTGACATTTTTACCTGTTATGTCTGTTTGTTTAGTTCACACATTGTAGGCGACTGTCATGCCAGTGAGAGGCTTAGCTAGCTATAAAACCACATTTAATCCACCGAATTCTACGTAGGGAAATACATGTATCAATTCAGAAATATGACAGTTGCTATCCATTCGTGTGAGCTTTTGATTTGCCATTTTTTACACCAAATATGCTTTGAATTTACAGGTTAACATTTTCTTCATCATTGACACAACATTGATATTGAATATTGATATGGATGGTATAAAATAAAATGCAGACTGACCTTTTTCCGGGTTGAAATTTTCAAAAAAAAGAGCGAAAGATTTGATTTTATAACTGACGGTCTCAAGATGGCTTAGAAATCGGTAAAATTTGTTCTTCCATTTGAAGAATCGCATCTATGTATTTGTCATGATATTCTCCAGATTGCTGTCTTGTTTTGCATTATCATTAAATCACACATGTACTAACATCACTTACCTATCAATCCAATTGCTTCCCGGATCTGTTCAAATGGCATTGATTGGTTCTGTTCATGAGACGCCCGCTTTTCAAGACTCTCATTCTCTAGGTCTAGTTTTCTCTTTTCTTTCTCCTGTTTTTCAAGTTTACTTGTCCAATATCTGACCTTAAAGAAACAAAAATGTTGAGAATATGAATGAACTGCAAATTCGTATCACTTGTTTTGAACACATTTCAAATTTTCCTCCGATTGTTTTATCAAAACCTATTACACAAAACAAAAACATTAGGTCCTTCATGGTATCTTCTGGTAGTATTATTCAGTGAGGACAGAGGTCATTTTTAAGTAACATTTTGATTCGTATTTACAGTTAATCGTGTAGTATAAATGTATATTAGAAAACTGTAATAGTTGTGAATTTTGCAGCTGTCACTTACTCGATATTATTAGCTCTACAAATTTTCATACGATCGTTTTATCAAAACCTGCATATTCTTGACAACCGTAGCAAGCTGTTCCTCTGATATACGTTTATGTATATACAATTCATGGCACAGAAGACTTTACACATCTACCCTTTCTTCCCATTGTGATAATAGTATAAAAATTAAACTTAATTCTTTTTTCTTATTTTCAAAAAATGCACTAATGAGAAAAAAGTAAAATAAAAGAAAAACTAAACAACGAAAACTCAGAACAAAAAGTTCTATATCAAATGTATCAAAATCTCAAACAGATCAAACGAATGGAAAACAACTGTCATATTCCTGACTTGGTACAGGCATTTTCTTATGTAAAAAATTGTGGAATAAACCTGGTTTTATAGTAAGTTAAACCTTTCACTTGTATGAGAGTCGCATAAAATTCTGTTATATTGACAACAATGTGTGTACAAAACAAACAGACATTAAAGGTAAAAATGTAAAAACAATAGGATAACGGCAGTCAACATTGTGTTATAACCTTGATCACTTTATTTAACGCACAAATATGTCAACAAAGTAATACATAATGACCTATAGACAAAGCATATAAGCACATAAGCAAAAATGAAAACAAGAATGCAAAAATGACCAATAACACAATCGGGGAATGTACCGAACCACGTCAAAATGGTATTACCAAAACTAAACAGTAAAGGTTAATAATTTACCATAAAAAAAATAGACGAAGACTTCAACACTTTATTAAGAAAATAATCAACGGCAGTACCTGGAATCTTTAATTCAAGACCATTATGTAATATTTTGTGAAGTTGATAAGGAATATTTATCAACAAGGTCTAGGTATCTTCCGATGAGCTTTTTGCTCATACACTGGTGACATTTTATAAAATCTGAGAAGCCGCTGCAAGCTCATCAATATCGAATGAGTTGTGAAATGTATATCCCATATGCAGGTGAAGTTTGTATGTTGCTACTAAGGTGGGGGAAATTGATAATTTAAAAATTTAAATCTTCTCGTTTGTCATCGATTCTGGTACTAAGATGCCGATTTATGTCGAGGTATAAATCTACAAATGAGGCGGAGGAAGTCATGTATGTTGTTTTTTTTTTTATTTCGAGTTCTGGAGGATATATTAATGGAAAACAATGTGAAAAGTTTGCATTGTTAGTGGAATGAACATTAAACTTTTATCTCAATATGAAATTAAATGATATGGATTCTTTGATCTTCTTGGTTTTGGTAAGTGTCTGAAGGAACTCCGACTCATATGAAAAAAAACACAGGTCGGCAAGATAAATCGCACAGTTCGTTCCCATAAGAACGCCGACAATTTGTTGCAAAATTCTACCTCCTAATTCAAGAAATATATGTTGTTAATAAGAAATCAGTATACTGAACTCTTGTTCCTCTGTTTAGCATATTTATCTTTTTGTTTATTTAGATCAAAATATGCCGCACAGTATGCCAAAGTAAAACAAAATGAAGCGTATGGTACCATTTTATATTGAAAAACATTGTGGATTATTTCTGGTGATGGGTTGAAAAATCAAAAGTTTTGATAGAAATAATTTCAGAGAAAGTTCAAGATTTAAAATGATCAAGAAGTTCTAGGAGTTTTTGAGAATCCACATATCGTTAATAACACTAAATGAGTAAACAGATTCTCAATATTTCTGAAGACAATTTTTTTGTAAATCTAATGGCCAATTCCTTTGATAGATATACAGCTGAGCCGGCAATGTACCGTTGTTTGTATGGGATTTTCTGAAGCTTATGTATCCAATAGACGGGTTTATCTGTAATCGACCTGGAAAACATGGCATATCCATTAACCTCTCACATTATCGATGAGCCATAACAACCTTGAAATATAACGCACGTGTATCGATCAAAACATTATCGATTATCTGTTTTACTTTGTATTTCCTCCATTTTCTGATTTAGTTTACTATGGATACTGCCGAAAGCTAAAAATAAAAGGTGGAGGCATTTCTTATGCAATTAAAAGTCATATAAATAATCGAAGATGTGGAAAACATTCAATATTTGAATTACACAACGAGTTACACAATGACTGCATTTATTTGATTAAATATAACATGTAAAAGATTCATTTTATGTCTTTTGACGCGCCAACAAAACTTAAAAGGATCAAAGCTATTAAAATTTATATATACAGGTTTTTGTATGGTCCAGAAATTTTGTTCTTGAAGGTGATGCACACAATCATTTTTTTTCATTATTTGTTTTTTATATAAATTGAAAAAAAGTGAAATCACACTGGCAGACTAATGTTGACACGTTGTGAAACGACTTTAAAGAAATTTAAATAAATCTATGAAAATTAATCCGATGACTACAGTGCATCTGCCTCTGTTTCTATAGAAGATCAACAGATCAGATGCAGATCAAGAATTTGGAAAAAAGGGGAGGCCTGACACAAAATTTGTAGTGGAAGCAGTAAAAAGTCTGGATTAAAAATAAATGAAGCTCCAAAAGAGGAGCCCTGGTCAACCTCCTGAATCCGTCGCTGCACATTTCTGTAGATAATAACAATGAAACCTACCCCGGGGTACATATAGTTTATATTGTGAGCAAATCAACCAAGTATGTAGAGACGAACTTTAACTTTTTTTATTCATGACGACTATCTTTATGCTGCAAAATAGACAGACATTCCGACAACTTCAAATCAGACAAATATTTTGTTAACAAAGAAGTAAGAAGTTCAAAATATGATAAAATGGGGAAACCACGTTAGTGTATAGAACTGTTATGAATATCAGTGACGCCTTATTGTATAAATAAGTAACTAAATGATGGGACAGTCGATTTAGAGGATTGTTGACTTGCTAAAATTCCACCTGGTTTTTTAATATATCACATTCGACCAAGCAAGATTATTTATTCTTATTTATGTATGTGTTATAATACTCAATATTATGATTATAATTGATATGTAACCTAGGACTATTATTCGTATATATTATGTCCAGAGTGTTATTTATAAACTACAGTTATATTTTAAGGACACGACACCTGGCCTGCAATGCATTTATAATCTTAAAGTCAATTCGTTATTTAATTACTTTATTAGGTCTTTCCACTTTTCGGTGGAAAGACCTATTGTATTTGTTCAGATTATTATTTTTTTTTTTTCTTCTTCCGCCACTTTTATTTCTTGCGTATAGATTTTGTTTCGCAAGATGTCGCTTAGATGTTTGGTATATGATATCGAACAGTTTATGCGCCTTTGAAATTCACCCTGCGTAACCGAATACTTTTCTTTGTAGGAGTTATCTCCCCGAACACTGTTTTCCTTGTGACTGCATCTCCTCTGTAACCGTAAAAGAAAGCGACAAATTTATTTTATAAAATTGCTCGTTATATCCTTCGCAGGATTTGTCCTATTTTGACCGAAGCGATATGAACACTCCATATGAGAGTTATTTCCCCTTATGCGTTTGTTATTAGTGATATGCATTTCTATCTTGTAAACCATAAGTGATAGAGACCTAGGATCTTTTAATTTGAGGTCCTTGGTCCAAAAAAAAAGAAAATAAGGTCAAGGTCAGAGGTCAAGGTCATATTTTAAATTTTGATTTTGGCTTATTTTCACTTCTTTTCAAAAACCGTATAAGATATCGACAAGATATTTTTACTAAATTGTAAGTTGCGACATGTCGTAACACATAAATTTTGGTTGAAATGGTTCGCTAACACTAAATTGGAGTTTTCTCCCCTCTTATGTTAAAAATTAGGCATAAAGTGATATAACTCATTAACCATATATAATTAAGACCTATGGTCTTTTGATTTGAAGCCCTCGGTTTATGACCTTGAATTTGAGCTAAAGGTCATAGGTAAATTTGACGTTCTAGATTTTGACCTTTGCTTTTTCCTCGTTAGTATACGTGATAAAGCCATAGGACTTTTTGCATTTCGTTGCAAGCCACTTGACCATGGAAAAGCCAACCGGAAGTGACCTGGTGTAAACCGGAAGTAGCTATTTTTTGTACTTATTTAATGTAAAAGTATAGTAAACCATATATTTTTGGAATCAGTATCAAGTAAACTATCAGATAAAACCGGAAGTCACATCTTTCAAACCGGAAGTAACAATTTATCTCCCTTATTTTGAAAAAAATGTATAGAAACCATGTATTTTTGGAATCAGTGTACAATAAACTATCATTAGACGCTGAATATGATATTTTAAACCAAATTTTAATAGTTCTATTTCAAAATAGATCTTTATGAGTGGAAAGACCTTCAATTGTTCTCTGAACAATTGGTTTTTAATTGTTTATAGCATTTATAATTTTACCAAGGTCAAGTACGCTTTCACATTCTTGTGTTTACGTTAGTTATATGCGGTCAGGAAAGTAGATGTATATATTTTTTTGTTTATATTTTTTCACGATTGTAATGGTTTACCGCTTCTACGACAACGCCTAGGAGTCTCGTCACAAACTAAGACAGATAATCGGAAAAACCTGTCGATACAAACATCAAATATCGCAAAGCATGATTTCCTACCTGCTTCGTAATCTTCAAATATATACTTGAAGATCAACTGGTAAACTATGGTTTGGACGACATTATAAATCTATTAGATTAATTTCCCTTTTTTGAAAAACAGACGTTTAAGCATTTACCTGTAACTCTTGTAAGTCATCTACTGTTGATTTTGCTTCTTTTCTTGATTTAGTTTGAAGACAAGTGTTTTCGGGATCTGTTGGTCTAGCAATAGGAGAAACAAGGATTTTTGGTTTGCTGATAGTAGTTTCTGTTTCAGGCAAAGCCACTTGTCTTTTTTTAGCTGTGCAGTTCTGAGATTCTTCTTGTGGTGTTGTCTCAGTTTGATTAACTATAATATTAACAAGGTAACTCATGAATTTAATTTCTAAAGATATCAAAGTTATATTGACTTTATTTATGTACAAGAAATCAAAAGAACATGAATACAACAAAGTCTCATTTATTTATATCATATGCAATTTATATTATTTTCTGTACATACCACCTATGTATGTGTTTAGGTTTGAATGCATGAATTACAGGTAAACATTGATCATTTTAAACTGTTCAACTGTTTTACTGTTTATTCAAAATACACTCAGACGCAGGTTTCTTGCATAACAGGAGCGATAAATATATAATATTCATACGAAAAAAAAGAAGGAAATTCGGTAGAAAACATAATAGATAACTATATAAATAATTTTACAAACGTTATATATTTTCAAATGTATTGACCAGATAGCACTAGGTCAGTGCAACGTTTGAACAACCACGTGATCACATGGAAACGATAAAATTATAATTAATAGTGACAAAAATTGCATACATAGTACTATTTTACTAATTTGGAGAGAAAAAGAAACAGTTTCTCATTTCTCTGTGACGCGTGACAAACTCAAATTTGACGTCGACGAAACATTCGAGCAAGTCACATTTCGCCTATATAAGTAGTGACGCCAGATTTAGATTTCGATGCAATCATCGAAAATCAGTGCCATTTTTTTAAGTGCATGCACTTGTCTGCGTAATTGACGAAGTTTAAAAAGACTTAAATAAACTTACAATAACAAACGCTCACTGACATTATATCAAAAGGGAAAGTATAAATTCATAAGTTCAATCAATGCAAATTTTAGTTAAAAAGACTTCATCTCTGATAGTGTTTTACATAGAACGACATGTTGTTATTTATTTTTGTTTTTGTTTTTGTTTTTTTTTTTTTTTTTGGCAGCTGAAAATTTCAAGCAAAAGTTACAGCCTCCAAACACTTGACTGAAATGAAGTGTTTTCCGTAACATTATTTTACCATCAACATTTCTTTAGTTTCTATTTAAGTACTTTAATATTTAAGCATCTCATTCTTAATTAAGTTTTATTATATAAAATTAACCGATCAGGGTAGTTGGAATTCACATTAGATTTCTTATTTAAACACAATACAGTAAAATTCATCCATTCAATATCAAATAACACTATTGAAAAGAAATATTGAACTCTTAGGTAAATTCAAAAAGGAGTAAGTCCATAAATAAAACGTTAGACTTAATCAAACAACGAAACTATGGAAAACAACTGTCATATTCCTGGTGTAAATTATACTGATAGATATTAGCTTTATTTACTTACTTTCTGCTGTTTGAGAAGCTAAATTTCCGCTAATTACTTTGTCTTTTATAATCGATATTTCATTTGACATGTAAGCAAGGGATCTTTGAATTTCAATTCCACCTTCTTTAGTGAAAGGAGCATCTGAAATAAGTCAGATATATTAAACATTTGTTAACATGTTATCATAATATTTAATACATAAGTTTTAACTATGTTAAAGGTTAGTATTTAAATAATCAGGCTCCATATCAGATTAAGCGATAATTCATATCTCCAATCTTCAACTAAGACGGACAATGTTTCTATTACCCATAACTGAATTACAGATATTCTTCAGATGATATTTCCTTGAAATAATCAAATTTATTGTTATTTTTAAACCATCCCCACTTCGTTGTTTGTTTCATAATACACTCATCATAGATACCAGGATTGAAATTTTGTATTTTCGCCAGACGCGCGTTTCGTCTACAAAAGACTAAGTGAAGCTAGAATAAAAAAAAAATAAAAAGGCCAAATAAAGTACGAAGCATTGAGGACCAAAAATTCCATTAAGTTTTGCCAAATACAGCTAAGGTAATCTATTCCTGAGGTAACTTTTATCGGGTTTTAAATGCCTTTGTCTGTTTCCGGTTACTGTGGATTCATTTATTTTCGTGGGTATCAATTTTCGTGGATCGCTGATAACAACAAAAAAATAAATTCAGATACGTAATTCGTGGATTTCTTTTTTGGTTTAGGAGGTCACATAACCTCCTTGGTTTGATCAATAATAACACAAACAAAAAAGAAGGAATTCATTGAACAAGTTTTGAATTGTCAAAATCCTCGCTTGGTCATTTTAGGTTAAAGTGTTCATTGAAAACTTCTACTACAATAATGGACAGAGACAACTAATTATTTGTTTGTTTTACAATCTATAAATTCTTGTCGAAATTTTATAAGGCATCCAAAACTCTATGGTTGAAAGCTCATTTCCCTAATCACGATATAATAAACAGTCATATAAGTAAAAGGTGTGAAAATAAATGTTCCTGTCATAAACAATATTACCTATGGGCAATATCCCCTTACTTAATCCTATTGATTTTTAATCACCAGTAAACCAAACTATGACACGGTAATTACCAAATTTTCCATGAACAGTTTTAATCAATTTTAAAAAGTAAATTATCACTGATATTCAATATATTTATTATTGATTTAATCAAAATACTTGTATCTTCTTGCAATAAAAACACGTGTTATGTTACCATGTTTATCGCAAGTCAACATTATACTAAAACTGCATAACATTACCGGAAATAAACATTCGACTCCATACACATTTCTCGGGATTATTCTTCGTTGAATACCTAAATTGGTGGTTCGCTGTGACCCAAGAAACCCACGAAAATTGGTATACCACGAATAAAAATGAATTCACAGTAAGCATTTTAACATAACTTTCATAAAGAAATTCACACAGAATGAATGTGGTCTAAGAACTTAAAAAATTTTAATTTACCTATTCAAACCATATCATTATTATTTGCTTTTATATATAAATCAGAAATAACCAATTTAAAATGGAAACTTTTAAAGAAAAAAAAAGGAAAAAAAGGAAAAAAAAATCCCTCCCCCTAATTTTTTTGAACCCCCTTATGATTCATCACCCCCAAACTCAATCCCAGCCTTCCCTTTGTGGTATGGTACCTTGCAGTACAATTTCAGAGAGATCCATACACTTGAACACAAGTTATTGTCTGGAAACTAGAAAAATGCTTGTTTTTAGGCTCCTTTTTGGCCCCAAATTTTAAACGTTTAGGGCAGTTACCCCCAAACTCAAACCCAGATTTTCCTTTGTGATATGGAACCTTGTAGTACAATTTCATAAAGATCCATACACTTACACACAAGTTATTGTCCTGAAACTAGAAAAATGCTTGTTTTTTGGCCCTTTTTGGCCCCTAATTCCTAAAATTTTGAGGCAATTATCCCCAAAATTAATCCCAGCCTTCCCTTTGTGGTAGGGTACCTTGCAGTACAATTTCAGAGAGATCCATACACTTGAACAAAAGTTATTGTCTGGAAACTAGAAAAATGCTTATTTTTGGCCCCTTTTTGGCCCCTTATTCCTAAACGTTTTGGGCAATTACCCCCAAACTCAATTCAAGCTTTCCCTTTGTAGTATGGAACCTTGTAGTACAATTTCAGAAAGATCCATACACTTACACACAAGTTATTGTCATGAAACTAGAAAAATGCTTGTTTTTGGACCTTTTTTTGGCCCCTTATTCCTAAAATTTGGAGGCAATTACCCCCAAAATCAATTCCAGCATTCCCTTTGTGATATGGAACCTTGTGGTACAATGTCAGAGAGATCCATACACTAACACACAAGTTATGTCTGGAAGTTACAAAAATGCTTATTTTTGGCCTTTTTTGGCCCCTAATTCCTTAACTGTTGGTACCATAACCCCAAAAATTAATCCCTACCTTCCTTTTGTGGTATTGAACCTTGAGGTAAAATTTCATAGAGATCCATTAACTTAAACTAAAGTTAGAGTGCGAAAACCAATGTGTCTTCGGACGACGACGACGACGACGACGACGCCAACGTCATACCAATATACTACCACAAAATTATTTTGCGGTCGTATAAAAATGTATTCATCAAATATTTGCGCATCATTTTTGCAAGTTTATGACGGTTACATAATTTGATACAGCTATATCAAGAGTTACCTTTGTATGAAGTAAACATTCTGGTCTTCCATTCTTCAAATGTAAACTGTTGGATTGCTCCATCTTCCCTGATGTAATACGCCTTTGGTGTGTCTGTAAATACTCCTCCTGGATACCTACATACGGACACCACGATAACCTCTAAAGTTTTCCCCTATAAAACATATGAAAGGAACTTGTAAAAAAAGGTTTGGAATAGATATTAGAAACCTAATAAAAATACAGCGGTTGGTGTATAAATATGGAATGACTGTATACTGTTTTGGAGTAAAAATTACTTCGTACTCAAGTCAGACAAAACGAAAATGAAAAGAAATATTCAGCAAACCTCAAGGAGAAATAAAATAGATCTGCTTAAAAATCATCGCACGTGTATCTGTTTTATAAGCAATTTAATATTGGTCCTTATCGAAACTTCAATCCATGTATCTTAAGCTCATAATATGGTCATTATCGCATCTGAAACTACCATGCAAACATTATTGGCAGAACTCGTAGTATCTTTTTAATGGACCATTGCTTTTCAATTGTATCTTCTTTATAGAATTATGATAAGCGATAGACTACCTAACTTGAACTGGTACGAGCAGATTCAAATAACGCGGTTAAATGGTAATCCTAGATCTAATGGCGGAAGAGAATTCAATATGCAAGTTATTTACAACAAAAAGAAATCATATTGTCTAGATATATTTGCAACCACGGCAAACCTTGCGATAAACCCGTGTGAAATAATACAAAACTTTCTGTATATGCTGTATGTATACAAGAAGGCTATCAAAGAGCAATTGCCATTATCGCAGAATTTCTTTTAAAATGCCTACCTAAATGAATTCTGAAAACCGAACGTTATTTAAATTTCAACAGACTATATATGAATATATTGGCAATGCTTATTTGTAAAAATGTAGAAAAATTTTCCTTACATCTGGAATATCCTTTGTAATGTTTTGTATTGGAAGGAAGTCTATGCTCCAATGAATGCCATTCTTATAAATTCTGCAATCACAGCCCCATTTCATGGTATTGTCCATCTTATCGTGAATCAGTTTTGCTATTTAAGAAAAAAAGTAAATACAATAACGTTGATACAAATTGCAAATATGTTCCGACAAGCAAACATTATAGATAATCTAAAAACGTTTTTTTTTTTAATTACCTTTTTAAACCATGGCTAGCGATATATCTGCATTTTTTGCCAAGTCTTTTGTGTACAATCAAATTTACGGTACCAATTTTACAGAAACAGATGGCGTATTTCGACGGTTAGTGTATCTCCAGTTATCCACGAAGCCAAAGTGTCTGAAAATCCAAATATTATTCAAACGTTGAAGATGAACCAAAAAAGACCAAAAGTAATATCAATCCCGTAAAGGAATCAGAGGTATGCATGAGGGAGATACATTCCTTAATACTGTTTGACTTGAAAATTTTATAACCATTTAAAATAAACCAATATCCGTATTTTCATGCCAATACTACTTGGATAATGATACCCTTGGGGAATTACAGTTCACCAGCATAAGTATCAACCACCCTGTGATAGTAATGACATTAGCGGTGCCATTTCTTTTTCCTTCTCACTTACATGGGGTGTCATGTGTGGTGCAGGGATCTGCCTACCCTTCATGAACACTCGAAATCATCGCCCCCTGTTTTTGGTCGGGTTTGTGTTGCTCAGCTTTTAGTTTCTTATACTGTGTTTTGTATACTGTTGCTTGTCTTTTACGTCTTTTTCGTTTATCACCTTGGTGTTCATGGGGTTGTTATTCTATTTTTGACTTGTGAGTTTGAATGTTCCTTTTGGTATCTTTCGCTTCTCGTGTAAAAAGATGAAGAAACATTAAGTCGTTAAAATAGAAAATGTTGCATGAAGAGCTCATTTTCAGAAGTTGAAAAAAATCAGATAAATGATGATATTTTATACTACACTTTGCAAAGTAAAACTCCAAATTATTTTGTAAGTTTTCGTTTAAAGGAAAGTAATAGGCATTTATATAATAACCCTTTATCGTATGATTTCTGTTGATTCCAAACAGACCTATTATAGAAAGACATGCATGCTTCCTACTAATTTCAAATAATTTCTTATATTTTTATAGCATACTTATTGACTCCTTGTCTTTGTTGGTGAGTTCGACTCCAACAACTTTGAATTCCTTGTCTTCAATACCAAACAAGATTCTTCCTCCTTTGTGATTGCAAAAAGCTGATATATATTTATTAATAGTGCTGCTAAATTTGCTTGGAACATTATCACTTCTTATTTCTTTGAACTGTATTCGATCATTCTCGCTCAATTTGAACATTTTCTTTTTGTGCTCGAAATATTCTACTATTGCTGGCAATTCAGACAATGAACCGGATTTGTCTTTCGTTTTGAGGATTTCAATGGCTTGTGTGTATTTTACTTCAACGATATCTGTGTTTCGCGGGAAATAAAGATGCATATCAACAGAAAAAAGATAATGCAGCGGTGTAATCCGTAATCGTAATATTTTGTCTTGATACGTTCCTTCGAATTTAATGAATTTACTACACTCATCAAATAGGTTTTGTTCCACAATTCCGTACCAGTCATCCAAATATTTGCCAGTTGCATCTTTCCAATCATTATTTTTCAGTATAACAACTCCTCCGTCTGTGTTTAAACAGGCAGTGATGTACTTCACGACAGTTTTTATTTCTTGGTTCTTCTGCTCTTTCTTTTTCTGCATGATGTGAATATCAACTTCCTTACCAATGTTATCTATCATAGCATCAGCTAAAATGAGAAATAAATCACGTTAACGTGTATAAACAAAACATAAACATTAAGGTTGCTTCCGCAAATTTGAAGATATTACATTGTTTGATTAAATTTAAGACGTCGTATATGTAATTAGTAAGGTTATAAAAATGTAGATGTTGTATGATTGCCAATAAGACAACTATCCACATGACACCAAATGACACAGAAATTAATAGCTATAGGTCACCGTACGGCCTTCAACAATGAGCAAAGCCCATACCGCATAGTCAGCTATAAAGGCCACGAAATCACCAATGTAAAACAATTCAAACGAGAAAACTAACGGCCTAATAAATGTACAAAAAAATGAACGATAAACAAATATGTTACACAGCAACAAACGACAATCACTGATTTACAGGCTCCTGACTTGGGACAGACACATATATACAGAGTGTGGCGGGGTTAAACATGTTAGCAGGATCCCCCACCATCCCCCTAACCGGGGACAGTGGTGTAACAGTACAACATAAGAACGAACTATAGACAATTTTACAAGCTCCATCATGAATTGGTCGACAGTTATGGAGCATCTTTTTCATATATGATGATTGATTTGTTCAAATTGATGTAGCCACAATCCCGTCTCCTTTGAGACATCAATAACTTAGACTTATCACCAAATTTGTACTAACATGATAACTAAGACGGTGCCACATATATATGGAAATGGATCTGTTTATCCTTATGGAGCACATGAGACAACCCCCTGTTTTTTGTGGGGTTCCTGCTGCTTTATCTTTAGTTTTATTTTTCAATATTGTGCATTGTAGACTTTTAAAGTCTTTATTGACGTTTTACATTTTTTGTCATGGCGTTGTCTTTTTTTGTTCGACTTATACTTTCGAGTATCCTTTTGATATCTTCCGGCTATTTCTATTATAACGTCAAGCTATATGTTTGGTCACTAGGAAAGTAACATAAATAATGAAGATTAAAAGAAATATTCCTCTTGTATTGTCTGGTTAGCTTTTACAAAATTATTAATGAGTGGGTCGGACTAAAAATTAATGCAAAATATCTTGATATTTTAATTGATCAAACCACCAAATTTTGCAGAATTATAATCCAAATAAAGCGAAAATTGATTGTCCGTTTACGTTAAGCCGAAAAGATAAAAACACTATCGAAAACAAAGACGAAGGCTAGACCATAAAAAAATTTGTGACAGTAAATGACCTCAATTAATTTGTGTGCTAATATCGTGTGTCAAATGAATACATTGTATCTGAGTGACTGTCATGGTATAAGCGACAATGAGAAAGTAAATTTTGAAAACCTATCGTCTAAATATTTCCTCTTATCTGTTTCGTAATTGTAGTCTAATACATACGAGAGACATTGTGTTGTAAAATTATCAAGGCTCACATAATTTATACAAAAGGAAAATCGTTTTTTTTTTATTGCACATTGGACATACGCTTTGAGTATATTTGGGTGATTCGTTTCTTCCAAGTGCCATTTTCATGTCAATGGTGTTGCTCATGGTAAGTAAATATTTAATAATAAGTCTCATTTGGTGAAATCACAATCGAAGAAAACAGGACGGAATTGTGGCTACTACAATTGGAAAACATCCAAGTGGTTCAATGACACAGAGAGTACATAACGACTAATCAAATCATGATTGCGTTCGTAAGGATTCACCTTTACACCGTTTGGTTTAATAACGTTTTTTTTTTTAATTGCAAGTCTCTTATAGGAAGTCATGATAAGAAACGCAAGTTCTTGAAAATTGTGTCAACCTGGAGGTATATATTACCAATACAGGCGTTCAAGAAATGTTGCTACCTAGAAAATTTTGTCAACGACCTCACAGTCTTTATTCATTCAGAAAGAGTATCGTCGTCTTTTTACGTTAAGCCCATTGACTGGCATATTAATCAGCTGAATTCATTAGTATTTTAAAGTTGTATTTCCAATTAATGGACTTAAGATCACGGAATTTAGTGGACTTATATCTAAAGAAATGATTTATAATGAAGATTATTACCTGTCTATGGTTTGAATAGGCAAAGGGCATTTATGCAGACATAATGAAGAGTATGGGATGCAAAATGACGATAATGGATTACATGATTCCTTTACCACATTTACTTGGAAATTGTTTTACTCTAGAACTTCACCAAAAGCAAATGTAATGACAACACTATTTTTAGGGGACAGACACTACACATTACTGTAACCAGTATAAACAATGAATTTGAATATATGTATGGTAAATAACAACACTTAAAAAACTAAAGTAAAGAAAAGTGAACCTTTAACATATGTGTTAACACAGGAGCTTCGGACATATTATTGGACATCTTTGAAACAGGTTTTCATAACATTTAACCAGATCATAATTGCGTCCGAAAAAAATCATATAAATTGATCAGAAGGTAAAAATCAAGGTAACAAACAATAACTGATAGAGATGCAATAACTCTAAAGAGATCAATAATCTTTATCTGGACATTTACGTATTTTTATATGGTTTCATACTTCAGACAGATATTAAAAAAACATCGCAAATGTCTAGTATTTGATATTGTTTACTTCTTTATCAGTTGTCATTAAATTCATACATTTATACACCGACTTAAACATGATGCCGATGAACCTAAAAAAACAAGTTTTGTGGTTGATGTGAGAAAGTTCTTTGAAATATCACTTTTAAATGATAAATTTGTTATTGATGCGTCTGTCTATTGACCGTTTAGATGACTCTAAAAAAATAACAAATCCTTTACTTTTTAAAGTTTGTCTTAAAATCGTAAATCAGATAATACAAAAAATTCGAGAAAAACATCCATGATTGCGATTACAATGCAAATTGAAATATCAGAGTTGTATGATTTTATTCACATTTTTACTTATTGTGGGTTTTTTTTCAAACTTATGTTCATTGCATACAATTTTTTAAAGAAAACAGCCATGAAGTTGTCTTTTTGCAGATGGTAGTATTTTGGACAAGCTATTGTGATTGGCTTCCAAATAAAACAATACGAGAATAGATTGGTGGTGGTAGATACTTCCTTAGCACGGGTATATTTGGTTTGCTGTGATTAACCATGTTAACAGTTGAATCACAAACAAATATTTAACACTTCATTCATTTTCACCATTTTCATTGAAATTTCATGAAGAGGGCGCCGTGTTTTTGTAAAACTACGTCATTTTTATTTCAACGTTCGTGTAATAAGTGACAGTTTATCTCTTTTCAAACAGTTTTACTTGTTCTCGTACATTACTTTATTATTTACTTACAGAATATGCTATAATGCTGACATTTTTCTGACAAAATTTCCGACCTCGACGTTGGAATTTGATCTGACGGAGGTTGAACCTGACTAATATTTGACAAGTAGGCAAAAATGATTGTACATATGATAAACTTTTGACTGGAATTTAATTCCACCAAATATAAGGTGTGTGCATTAAAATTGAAACTTTATGGTCAATGCATTACCACTTTTTGTGGTTTTATCTGCTCATCAACGCTTCCATTATTTTGTTTTCTCGAGTATTACTGCAGAGACCATATTTGTGGAAATAGGTATCAGGTGGAACAACATTTGTACCGTTTGATTTGTTTAGCTGAGTAAAATGTAACAGGAAAACTTCTCGAGAAAAAGACGAATAAATTAGAGTCGAAAACTTAAAAGTTACTTACTAATCGGTTGGTCTTCTTCTCTATCAGCGTTAGAAGTATCCATCTGTCAATGGAAAAGTACATTTAATGCTATGTTATCAGTTGAAAGTTATCATTATGCAGTGTGAACAGGAACCCTTTATTAAGTTTTAGATATCCAAACAAATAAAATGTTGTCACAATTTCACAATGATAGGAATATTGAAATCGTACGTTTAGAAAGTAAAATCATGAAAATACTGAACTCCGAGGTAAATTCAAAAAGGAAAGTCCCTAATCAAATGTCAAAATCAAAAGCTCAAACACATCAAACGAATGGATAACAACTGTCATATTCCTGACTTGGTACAGGCATTTTCTTATGTAGAAAATGGTGGATTGAACCTGGTTTTATAGCTAGCTAAACCTCTCACTTGTATGACATTCGCATTAGATGTGAGGTGATGCTAAAACGTTCGTACTGTAGAATACAGTCATCTCTTGTGTCATGAATTTAATTAAACTTCATTAATTTTGTGCGTAAGAAGCGCTTTCTTGGATTAATCTTCAACATAAACGTTAACCCCATTTTTAAGCCAATGGTTTATAAGTACTTGAATTTGCGAGGAGCTAGATGACCATAACAGGACGCTAAAACTTTATCCAAAACAATTTTAAGTCAACATTGTCCGATGGAGTTGGGACCTTGGTTTCTTGATAATTTCTAAATTTATCGACAGCAAATTTTAGAATCCTATGTTTAAAAAAATGGCCTTACCGAAGCACTGACTGATGAGCCAATAATACCCTCTGTGAGTATCAGTCCAACATCAGAGTTATCGACTTAGTGCTAGTAAATGAATACCCTTGGGAATTTGGTGCACAAGAAGCGTATTTCTCGATGAACCTAAAAACTTCAAGGTCAAGGATGTTGAAGTACTTGAATACATCGGAGCAATATGATAATAAACTGTTATCACAGAGATATGTCTCGCCTTTTTGTAATTTTGATAATGCAAATGTTGAAATTAAAATTGCAATACTTAAACATGTAAGTAATGCAAATATTCAAAGTGGATGAACCATGACTGAAGGTACATGGCTAAACAATCTCCATGGAATGAGATGTGCCAATGCTAATACAACTGCATACCAAATACCATTGACTTATTATAAGTCGTTCCCTTTAAACAAACCTAAACACAAACATTAACTTGTAAACTATGTAAAAGTTTCAAAGTCAATGAACCATGATCGGGGGTGGGGCTATATAATCTCCATGGAAACGATACTTGCAAATGCCAATAAATTTGCATACCAAATATCAATGACTTAACATTAGCAGTTCATCTTAAACTGGTCTAATCACAAACTAATACATGTAAACTAAGCAAAAGTTTCAAAGAAAATAGACCATGACTGAGGGGGCGGGGCCAAATATTCTCCATGAAAATGAGATGTGCTAATGCTTATACAACTGAACACCTATTAACATTGGCCTACCACTAATGGTTCCCCTTGAACTGACCTAACCACAAACTAATACATGTAAAATTTTCAAAGTCTATAGACAATGACTAAGGAGGCGGAGCCAAATTATCTCCTTCGAAATGAGATATGCCCATGCTTATACAACTGCATACCAAATATCATTGACCTACCGCTAGTGGTTCCCCATAAATTGACCTTATCACAAACTAATACATGTTAACTATGAAAAGTTTCAAAGTCAATAGACCTTGACTGAGGGGGCGGGGTCAAATAATCTCCATGGTAATGAGATGTGCCAATGCTAATACAACTGCATACCAAATATCATTGACCTACCACTAGTGGTTCATCATGAACTAGACCTAATCACAAACTAATACATTGTTGACGCCACCGACGCCGGAAACAGCATACCTATGTCTCGCTTTTTGACTCCGTCAAGGGGAGACAAAAAAGGAGTGTAAAATCCATCTAACATGTCTAAGATCAACTTTGCCTGATAGACAAAAAACCTAAGATTCTTAATGGTTTCTAATCTTACCAACCGAAAATTTAAGAAGGGTAAATAATAAATCATGTCTCTAACTAAGCACTGACTCCTTAGATGACAACCTGGTAGCCCTAAAGAGGCGATATCAACCAAATGCCAGTAAATGCAATAACTCTTTATGAATTAAGTGAGTCCGAAGTGCTTTTCTAGATCTTCCATCATCAGGAACGTTCCAACTCAAAAGCATGAAAGCCAACGACGAAAACATACTTTAAAACATCAGGAGCTATATGACCAAAATTAATCAAACAAAAAAGTTAAATTTGTCTATCATTCTTAATATACTGGTTTAAACTTTTCAAACATTTATGTTCAAAATCCTGTTTGTACCGAAAAATTTACTACAGAGCTAATGATCCTCTACGAACTAGCAGTCAACCATTAGCAGTATCGACTCACTGACATTAACATTCTGTACAGTGAAAAGGACGCCTATTTTTTGGGGTAGGTTTTTCTGTTGGATTAGAAAAGGGTCGTACAATATACCACAGGTATATCCTTTGGGTTATACATGATGACTTAATTTGTGCTTAAACATAAACAACAAAAGTGCTCACACAGATTGTCATTTGAAATCAAATAATTATGAAATATTTATGATGACATGTCAGGTAACGAAATACACGTTAAGGGACCTCAAAAATTTAATACTGTGAATTTAACCTATTCTTATCTCTTTTAAATACTTCTCATTATTGAAAAAACCATAGAATGTGTCATTTATTTTCCCTACCATCACTTGTTTCTAGTAACTCAGGCTTCCGTTTTGGACTCTTACAGATTTAAGAAATTTATTCCTCCTCCAAAACATCAATATTGAAAAAAAATTACCAGCGTAATAATAATTTGTATAGTATTCAAGATTTTTATTTCAGTTTGACTACCACATGTCAAAAAAAGGAAATGAGCTGTCAAAATGACAGCAAACCGTGTTTATTTAGGCACTTTCCAGCCTGTTTGACCTACCTCGTTCTGTGTTTGTTTCAGATCTATCAAGAACCATAACCCCAAACGTTAATATCGTCAATTTGAAATTGACATCCAGTACCAACACATTGAATTATGAAAAGCATTGAATGAACGGTTATATATTATTACACGGAAACGACATAAAGTGCATTTTTTATATCTATCAATAACTATAATTCCCGAATGAAAAAAGTCCCCAGTAAAAACATCATAAAATTTGAAAAGGCATGTGTTAAACAGTTCATAAGTTTATACACGGAAACTGTCGTCAGCCGCCCGTTGACCGCTTGCCGTACTTCATCAAATTAATAACCGAATGTTTCCTTTTGGAAACCAGGATAAAAATTAGCAAGCATCTACGTATAACTTCTTATAACTCCAAATAACGGAATGGAGATGCATACAAAAATTTCTGTACAATACATTAACAATGAGTGTATTTCTTCTAAATATGTTTTACTCAAATTTAGCATGTATAGCAAAGTGAAAGTAAATCAAAGTAACAATGTTATCTGCAAAAATGCACGGCTAACTTGACTTAAGATATTCTCATTTGTGTTAAATAACAAGCTGATTTCATACTATATCTTATAAAAAAGGGAATTCATGTAAGCAAATCAACTATTCCTAAGCAAGAAAGATTATTTCCTTTAACCTACTTTATTTGAAGAAACCCGTTATGAAGTGCAAAGGAAAGACAGCAATAAGGAACAAATCTTTTTGTTTAGTCTCTGGTAAAATAATTGCTAATAAAGTCGGTCAAACTCTGTTGTTGGGTTGATGCATTAATGCAATTTCCCTCACGTCTCCTTTTCGTCAATGTTATTATGCTATCCATTTTCAAACCTCTAATCGAATAGAGAAATTTTTGGCCTTCACTTTTTATTTGTAATTTGATCCTTTAAGGGCGTCAATTTATACACAAAACGCAACTATTTAAATTGTGTTTGGTGAAATTGAATGAAGATGTTTTATTTTTACACGTTTAAGTTAGCAAAAATGAGATTATCGACAAAAAATGTAATGCAATACCGTAATTGTTAATGATAGCAGATAGACAATTACAGTAACCTTTTTTTAAATACCCAAATGTTTTAGTTGCTTTACATACTGTGTTTTGTGGTCATTATATGTTTACCAGAAAGATTAACAGAAATCGTCATTCATCAAATATCGGGGACTGCATAATGTTTCCGTATTTCTTAAATCCGACTCAAATGTTTCATTTCTTTTGTTATTCTGGAATTAGTTTTTAGCTTCCAGTTTTACAACCTATCTTGATATTAATGAATTGTATAATAAGAGTCGCAATTTGTAATCAATCAATTACATTTTCAAAGTAATCGTTATAATTTTGGTTTACATGTGATCGTAATTTAATCAATTACAACAAAAAGCTGGATAAAACTCATTGATTTCTTTCCGATTACATTTCGATAACCTAAGTAAACTAGTTTGATGGTAAGAAGACAGCTGTATGTATTTTTCAGTTTATGCTATCTACCTTTTTAAAGATAGATCTCCTGTTCAACCAGATTTCCAAAACATTTGCTGTATAATTACCAGCTAAATTAAACTCTTCTGTTGTACCTATATTTTGACTATTTTATTTATTATGTCTCTTTTGTTCACGCATCGTTGTAAATATAACGGAACTTGATGAGACTTAAAATCGTACAAGTGAGAGGTTTAGCGCTATAAAACAAGGTTCAATCCACCATTTTCTACATTTGAAAATGCCTGTTCCAAGTCAGGAATATGACAGTTGTTGTCCATTCGTTTGATATGTTTTGTCATTTGATTTTGCCATGTGATTAGGGCCTTTCCGATTGAATTTTCCTCGGAGTTCAGTTTTTTGTGATTTTACTTTTCACTGACAGGTGCCACATGTGGAGCAGGATCTGCTTACCCTTCCGGAGAACATGAGATCACCCCCAGTTTTTGGTGGGGATCGTGTTGCTTAGTCTTTTGTTTTCTATGTTGTGTTTTGTGTGCTGTTGTTTGTTTGTTTGTCTTTTTCGTTTTCAGTCATTGCGTTGTCAGTTTGTTTTCAATTTATGAGTTTGAATGTCCCT